TACCAAATCATCTATTCGTCAGTCAGTGGACATGTCAGCTGCTTCATATCTTGGCTATTATAAATAATGCTATGATAAACATAGTGGTGCATGCATCCTTTTAAGTTAGTGTCTTTGTATTCTTTGGGTAAACACCCAGTTGTATGATTGCTGGTTCATAAGATAGTTCTATTTTTAACTCTTTGAAGATCCTCCATACTATATTCTTCAGTGGCTGCGCCAGTTAGCATTCCCAACAACAGTGCGAGAGTGTTCTTTTTTCTCCACATCCTTGCCAATACCTATTGTTTCTTGTGTTGTTTCAAGGTACCCGCATGGTCTTGTTCTGGTGGAGGTCCTCTTCCTGTTTCAAAGCCAGCATCCTCTCACTGTGTCCTCACATGGTGAGGGGCAAGGGATCTTCATGGGGTCTCTTTTACAAGGCACTAATTCCTTTATGAGGGCTCTACCCTTGTGACTTGGCCTCCCAAAGGTCCCACCTTCTAATATCATCATCATTGGGGTTAGGATTTCAGCATAGGAAATTTGGGGGACACATTTAGAATCTAGCAGTATAGAAGAAGTAGCTGAAACGTTTCCAAAATTGGTGAAGATCCTTTGCCCCTTGTTCCAGGACAAGACCATGCTGGTACCTTGATCTTGGGCTTTCTAGCCTCCAGAACTATGAGAAATAAATTTCTGTTGTTTATAAGCTACCTAATGTTGATACTTTGTTATAGCAGCTTGAACGGATTAAGGCATATGCCATTCTCTTTCCTTCTGTAATTCTATTTACACATATGTTAGACTGATACTGTACCAAAGTCCTCTCATGTATTTTTTTAATTCTTATTTCTCTTTGTACTTTAATTCAGTTTCTTGTGACCTGTTTTCAGCTTTACTAAATCCTTTAGTTAGCCGTATGTAGTCTACCACTAAGCCTAGTTGATACTTTGAAAAAACATATATATTTTAATTTTAGAATGTCTATTTTCTTCAGAATTTTCATTTTTCTACTTAAATTTTTTTATCTTACCCATTTTGTTGGTGTTTTTCCCTCAATAGTGTAACATTTTTATAATGGTTATTTTAAGAGTCTTTAGCTATTCCTTCCAACCAACATCTGAGTTTTTCAACAACCTTAGTTTTCTGAAGGTCTTCTTATATTGACTTTTTGCGCTTGATTATTAGATACATTGTTTTTTTTTTAATTAAAAAATTTTTTTAATGTTTATTTATTTTGGGGGGAGAGAGAGAGAGACAGAGTGCAAGCATGGGAGGGGCAAAGAGAGGGACACAGAATCAGAAGCAGGCTCCAAGCTCTGAGCTGTCAGCACAGAGCCCGATGTGGAGCTCAGACTCACAGATCATGAGATCATGGCCTGAGCTGAAGTCGGACACTTAACTGACTGCGCCACCCAGGCACCCCTATTAGATACATTTTCTTGCTTCTTCACATAGCTTAGAATTGTTCACTGTGTCTGGACATTGTGTATAAATAAGAGACCCATGGGGCGCCTGGGTGGCGCAGTCAGTTGAGCGTCCGACTTCAGCCAGGTCACGATCTCGCGGTCCGTGAGTTCGAGCCCCGCGTCGGGCTCTGGGCTGATGGCTCGGAGCCTGGAGCCTGTTTCCGATTCTGTGTCTCCCTCTCTCTCTGCCCCTCCCCCGTTCATGCTCTGTCTCTCTCTGTCCCAAAAATAAATAAAAAACGTTGAAAAAAAAATTAAAAAATAAATAAATAAATAAGAGACCCATGTTGTCTACTCCATGCCCCCAAGGAGTTCATCCTTTCCTCTATCTGGCAAGTAGAGTCAGGGCCTGATTTAGTCAGTGTAGTCGGAAGTCAAGATTAGTCATGGCTGAGTTACAACTTTAGTTATCTCCATTCTCTTCTAGTTTCCGATGTCTTGAGAATGGAATCAGACCTCTCTCTTCCTGAGGCCTTTGTGATTAGAGCTTGCTTGCTATTTTCCAGTCCCTTCCCTAACTTCTCATGCTGTCCCCTAAATGCAGCATTAGTCCTATAAAGGAGAGTTGGTGAACTGGAGGGACTGGTGTCCCTACAGACTTCAGTCCACCATGCTAGGTCATGTGTGGCTCTTAGAGGTATTGATGGCTTCTTTTGTCAAAGTGAAGTTGCTCGCCTGTGACTGGCTTCCTCATCTAGCCACTGTGCCCACACTTTGCAATTGCCCTCAGGGATGGAAGTGGCTTATCTCATGTTCTCTACTTACCTGAGAAGGACTCAGTTCTCATTAAAGTGTATTTCCTCTAAACTCTGTGTTCACATTTCTTTTATGCCTTTAAAGAAAAATGTGATATTTTTAAAAAATTCAGGTGTTTTTTCTTTGTTATGGTAGGAATGGCCGTTTTTGAGGTCTTCTACATTCTAATTAGAAGTAGAACCTCCTTCTGCTCTTCCTTTTGAATAAATAGTTTTGAAAAAAAGTACACTGCCCTGATGGTCATTTCTTACAATTCGTATTTTTAACCTTTTTCATAGTATACAGTAGGGGTCAGCAAATCTTTTCTGAAAGGGCCAAGTAGGAAATATTTAGGCTTTGTGGACAAAGTAGCAAAATCGTGGCTATTGTGTAGATACTTATATGACCATTTATTTAAAAAAAAAATTTTTTTAACGTTTATTTATTTTTGAGACAGAGAGAGACACAGCATGAACGGGGGAGGGTCAGAGAGAGAGGGAGACACAGAATCGGAAGCAGGCTCCAGGCTCTGAGCCCAGAGCCCGACGTGGGGCTCGAACTCGCGGACCGCGAGATCGTGACCTGAGCTGAAGTCGGACGCTTAACCGACTGAGCCACCCAGGCGCCCCAATGACCATTTAAAATGTACCATTTAAAGACAGAGGTCATTCCTAGCTCATTGGCCATGAAGAAACAGATGACTATAGTTGGCCAAGTTCTGGTGTGGAGACAAGTGATAAAATAATTAGAATGTTTTGATGAATAAAAACCAAGCAAATAGCAGATACTTTCAAGAAATTCTAGGGAGTTCTTTGATACACCATCTACCATGGTATCTACAGTAGTAAGTACCAAAAATGATCGTGATCTCTCAAGACCGGGTAAACTTTTATTTAGTACAATAGAATTGCATAGTAAACTTTAGAAAAGTATTGTCAGAAATATATTTAGCCATATGAAATCTTTGTTCAAAGCTTCATTAATTCATTCTGCCCAGATATTCTACTACAATATTGGGCATTGGGCTAATGTGTTTATCTTCAGCACTGAAAATGGGTACAGTCCAATGGAAAACAGACACTGAGAGGTATAAATACAAGGTAGCAATTATAGTAGTATAGGTTTGCACAAGGTGCGTCTGTAGGGTAAGATACATGACTTTGCCTAGATGTTGGGGAAAGGTGACAGGGAAGACTTAAGAGAGAAGATGATGTTTTGCTAATTCCTGAAAAGGAATTAAGATTTTGCCAGGTAGACAGATTTTATATATCCAATAAATGTTGCCTGACAGTTATGCTTAACAACTGAAGTATTACCATATTGTTGACTTGACTCACTCAAGGTCGTTTTAGAAATGGCTTGACTCTGAGGAAAAAAAGTTAGAAACACATTCCCTCCTTATATCATTACATGCCTGTGAACACTTAAATGAGAGGTAGTAGGTAAGCAGCCTTTAGCAACTGTTTTCACAAACCACTTATCACTGGGTGACATAAAGTGATTAAGTGATATTTTAGCAAGAATAATTTAGTTCCAGCTTTCTAAAAGTTTATTGCTGTTTTTAAATCACTAAATTCTCCAGTCTCTATAATGTTTTTTTTTTAAATTATAATTATTGTAGTAAGAATGCTTCAAAGCAGAGACTTTTCTTTTTAGATTGTTTATAGATTTAATAGCTAATAAGATGAGTGAAGAGTAACCATAAGAATTTTTACTTAGGGATGGGAAGTAGAACTTAAGGGGATAAATTACACTTATGCTAAAGAACACAAGAGTATTGAGTTATTTATGTATTCACTTGTAGCATGTTAATATGCCAGTAAATCTTTTTGCAATTTCTGGAGAATTGGTTAGCTTAATGAAAAAAACAACTGATCATTTTTTATTTGCCTTTTTAAGAAAGCTCCTCTGGAGGATACATTTTACTGAATTATTGAACATAGGCTTTATTGAGTAGGTAATAAGGATTTTTAGTTTGTGGTAAACAAAAGCTAATAGAACTTTGAAGACCTAGATATTCGATTTGGTACATTATTTTCCATAGCAGGCAAACTGAAATCCTTTATAAAATTGATGCTTGATATATAACCTTATAAGAAAAAAAGTTTTATTCCTCTCTATATTTTTCTCTTAGCTTCTGTTAAGTATCAGAATACATATTGAGAACCATAAAAATATTTATATTCATATATAATAATTCCAATCCTTGGAAAGACCCAACAGAAACAACTAACCTCATAACCACATCTTTGTTAGTACCCTCCTCCCCCTAAAAGGCCTCAAAGAACTTTATAGAAATAGGGGGATGATTGGGTAAATTTTGAGTCAATAGATACTATATAGCCATTTAAAGGTAGAAATGATTAATACCATGTAGAAACTTGGAAATGTTTATCGTAACCTTTTTTTTTTTTTAAAGCAAACCTAAATACCACATTGTTCTGCCATATGATACCAAGTTGGAAAATTGGACAATGAATGCCCAGGATCCCTAGACAATGTAGACTCACTGAACACTGTTAGTACCCTATTCTGTAGGTTCCAGAATGCAGTAATTCTCTCATGTACGATGATCAGGAGAGACGGGTAAATACAAAAGGGACTGAAAGATGGCTTTCAGTAAATGGCTCTTAGTTGCAGGATTTTCTGTATGAGATGGCAACTTTAGATGTTTATATTTGAGCTTTCAGACATTTCCTGAGTCAGCACTGTGGATATAATGTTATTGACTCTCTCTTCCCCAAGATTTTACAGTGTTTGATCTTATTAATTGAGTGACTATGAATCCTAAATGTATTATGGCTTTATTTTCAGGATAAGGGAGATCTTGAAGGCATCTCGAAAATTGCAAGGTGATCCAGATTTGCCAATGTCTTTTACTTTGGCCATAGTGGAGTCCGATTCCACAATAGTCTATTATAAACTTACTGATGGATTTATGCTGCCAGACCCTCAGGTCAGTTTTGAGGCAACTATCAGTAAACAGTGGAAAAAAAAAAAGAAAATTATGACATGTTTTGAAGTGTGAATCAAGCCATTCAACTTCCTTTGCAATATGAAAATTCAAGGAAAAAATGACCTGATTTTCACACCTCAGAAAACTGGCTGTTTTGTTTAAAGTAATATGTTCCTAGGTTTCACAAAAATAATTAGATTTACTTATTCTTTGGAGAATTTCATCATTTCCTAGAGTACTTTATAAAGTCATGATATTATTTGATAATTAACTAACGTGGAATATAAAGGCTTATAAAAGTTTCAGCCAAAAGAATACATCTTTAGAAAATCTTTAGAAAATGTTAAATGGGTTGGCATTTTGATAGGAATATTTTAATAAAGTAAATATGTTGTATATGGTTTCTTTATATATTTTGTTGGTGTAATTGGGATAATTACATTAAATATCTATCTGATTTTGCTTTTAAGTTACCTTCCATACTGGGGAAAAGGTCCATCCTGATCTTTTTTTTTTTTTTTTTTTTTTTTTTTTTTTTTTTTAATTGCAGAATATTTCCCTTAGAAGATGACACCTATTCTTCCTGATGCTTACTTTGGGATTGGATTTGAGATCCGTCAACCTGATTCATCCTTTATCTCAGAGATAGTTAGGGTTGACTTAGCTGGTCCCATTCATAAGTTTTTCTTTTTGAGGAATAAAACTTTCCCAGATAGAAGAATTTTTTGTTGTTGTTCCTAGGTATAGGATAGTTGCTCTAGAACTTTCTTATCTGGAGACAGTTTAATTATAGTTATATACAAATTTAAGCTTAGGATGTGTTCAGAGGGGTAGAACACATGTGTTTCTTCTGTCTCCCCCACTCATAGCTGCCTCACTGTTCGTTGCCGCCACTGCTTACACGTTGTTGAGACTGTCACCTTTTTCTTATTCAACGCACTTAGTGCCTTTTGGCCACTACAGCTAGCCTGGAATGGCATTTCATGGACACCTTGACATCTGGAGAGTTTGCTCAGTTTACTTTTAAATCCCCAAGTTTTCTTCCAGTTGGTTTTTATGTGGCAATTACTGTTGACTTTACACCAAAAGTAAAAATATGCTCATTCCAACCGTAAAAGTACATGCACAGGTGGATTAATAGGGACCAGAGAAGTGCTACCTATGAAAGTACGGGGCCTTGCTTTCCATTCTTATTACCACTGCCATTATTGTATCCTGGCTAGAATGTTAGAGAGATGGTGAGGGACAGTGCCAGCCATAGAAACATCTTTGTTAAGTAGACCCAGTTATTCCACTTTTGTTTAATACCTCCCAATTATGTTGCCTAGAGTATACAAAATTATATGCACAAAGATATTCTAAGTGGTATTAGTTGTAATAACCCAAATTGTAAACCACTTAAAAGTTTAAGGCAGCGGTCAGCAAACTTTTACTGTAAATGGCCAGAAGGGAAATATTTTAGGCTTTGCAGACCATATAGTCTCTCTTAAAACTTCTCAAATGTGCTCTTTGTAGTACAAAAATAACCATAGACAGTATGTAAGTAAGTGGGCGTGGCTGTGTTCCAATAAAACTTTATTTACAAATGTAGAGCCATAGTTTGCCAACCTCTGGTATAGGGAAATAGTCATTAAACAGATACAGATAGCCAATATATCCGATGAGTGGTACGTTATGTACTCATTAAACATTAGTAGTGAATATAATGAAAAACATGAGAAAATATATAATTAATGAAACAAGATATGGAAGTGTATGAATGGGTAGGACCATGGATGTAAATAACACACCAAGCATATAAAGAAAGGGTGACAAATTACTAACTGCACTTACAGTAGGGTGACAGAGCAATAAATGGATGACTTTGTCTTCTGTTTTTCTTGTATCACTTTTATAATAACAATGTTTTAAAATAAAATATCTTGAGATCAATATTAGTCATCTATCATTGCATAATAATAGTACCACAAACTTAGCAACTTACAATAACATACATTTAATATCTCAAAGTTGGGTTCTTTGTAAGGCTGCATTCAGGCCAGTCTCATCTGAGGCTTGACTGGGCAAGGCTTCCTTGCCTTCCTCGTGTGGTTGTTAGCAGCTTTCGATTCCCTGTGGGCTGTTGGACTGATGGTCTCAGTCCCTAGTGGGCTGCTGGCAAGAGGCCACCCTCAGCTCTTTGCCACATGGGCCTTGCCAGCACAGCTGGTTGTTTTCCTCAAAGCCAGCAAGGGAGAAAGTCTCAGCAAGATGGATCTCATAATTTTACCATGTAATCAGTGTAATGTTACAATAAATCCTGTCACGTTGGGCATGTTCTGATGGTGAGAAGCAAGTCACAGCTAACTACACTAAAAGACAACAGGAGCAAGAATGCAAAAGTGGCAAAAAGGAGGAACGTTATAAAATAGTGTAAAGCATCGTTCTTGGTCTGTAGTCATTCCTGACTACTTTCCTTTGATGATATTTGAATTTCACTTTTATTCTTGATGGAAAGTCTTGACAACTCCTTCAGACTCCCTCTGCTTTCCCAGAAGGTCTGAAAATGCACCCGTTCAAAACAATGTGTGTTTCTGTGACTCCAGTTGGCAATTTGTAGACCTAAGGATCCTAAGTTTATGATCTATTCTTAGGGTCTCTACCACTTGATTCCGTTTGAGCCTTCTTGTCACAGTGCTACAAAAAAAGTCTGCATTTTCAGAAAGAAATGTGAGGCTTAATGAATGTTAGATTTTTTTGTCAGATCTGGTAACCAGTGAGCTCTTAGGTGTCCACAAGACCAGAAGTATCTTCTGGGGTTAACTCAAAGGAGCATTCCCACAGAAACCTTTCAAACTAGGCCTTGATCATTATAATAGAGGATGGCTTCTCTATTTCAGAATGTCCCCTTCACCAAAGGGGTACAAAGGTTGTACTTCAAAGACTCTTCTATCCAAAGCCTGCCAGATACCTGCTAACATGAATAATGGTTGAGAACAGTTTGGAAAGGGAGACAACCCAGATGTGTCAGTCCCATTTGACTGAGAAACTAGGTAAAGGGTTTTCTTCTGTATGATCAAATTAACTGTGTGATTGCAGCCGCTTTCTCTTGTTAGATTTTGGGCCCCGTAAGAACACAGCAAGGAACCGTGTCTTTTTTTCTTTTACATTTGTGTATCTCATCTCCTTCCATAAACTCGCATGTACTAGGCTCTCCGTAAATATTTAGTGAAAAATGAATGCAGATTGTAGACTAGTTTAATTATAGAGAGGCTTACTTTTTTGCCTCAAGGCAAACTAAAGGGATCCGTTTGGACACCAGAGGGCAGTGCTCAATAAGCACCAAATTTTCAGGCGCTGGGAGTAGGTTGGCTTCAGAAGTGGTGCTCTTGAAAATTTCTTTTCAATCTGTGGGGAGTAGACATAAATAAAAAATATAAATAAGTTTTACGTGCTTACATCCCCCCTTTTCCTTTCTGGCCTGCCTGTAAAATTATACTCTACTGACATTAAATATGTGACTTGATTCACGCTTTGTGCAAAATGTAGATCTATATTGAAAAATAAAAGCTTGTTTGGGGCAAGGGTGGGGAGGTGGGTGTTTTTCCTAGACTATGGTTTTATTCATAACCATATGAAGTGACACATTTCCTTTTTTCCTTGCAAAAGCCTAATTTATTAAGTAAACTTCAAGGTCCCATCACATAGCAAGAGACCCCAGCTCTGAAACACTCACTGAACTGGCTTATAATGTTGGTAAAAGACATAAATTGCTGCCCTAATAAACACAGACTTTCCCTATAAGAGGGTGCTCTCTATGTGGGAGCAGGAACGGGGAAAGGGCATTGCTGACTTCTCTCCAGTGCTGTCTTGGCCTTTGTTCTTTGGAGTCCCTAGTCAGTGAGCCCTCTGTGCTGGGATGGATCAGTGGAATATTGGCGAATCTAGATCCAGTGACTCCAGACTAACCTATTTTGCTTTCCAGGGCGTGGGCCTCTCTAGATGAATGTGTTCCTAAAGGTGAAGAACATGAGGGCAGAGGCACTTTGGAATTCTAAGCTCTGATGAGAATAGCAATCTCTTACCAAGTTCATGTGACCTGCATTATTTTTTAACTGAAACTTTTATATGCCTGGAACCAAATGACTTAACCAAAAACTTCTGATGTGTCATCTTTTTCTGAGCATTTCTGTTCTGAACTCCTCTGTGAGGTCACGTTTTCCATTGCAGCCCCAGCAGGAAGCTTTTCACTAGTGCAGCACAGTGGGTCTTGCCAGAGCTTATAGCTACTCTATATAGAAGCCCTTTATTCCTCCACCGCACTCTGTTTACTGTGCAGAATGGTGTTATATCTGAACAGTTAGTACAATTTTCTTTTCTTTCCAGACTGATAGCTGTTCCATTCCTTACCACTCTCACTCTTGCAACCCAATCCTTTTAATGATCTTTGAATAAGAACTGCTTGTGCTCGCTAAGGACAGAGGATGGAAAAATCATGTGACTTACTGGGCAGGTGGACTTTTAAAATGTTTTGGTGGATTCTGCGAAATTGAAAGCCAGTTTAACCAAAATCAAACAAAAGTTGGCTTTTTAGGTTTCGGGGTGACTGAATGGAGGTAATATTAAGAAGTATTTCCTTAAAGTCACTCCATGCATTTATTAATTTATCTTCAGACATTAGCTGGGCTCCTTCTGTGTGTCTGCAACACTAAGGTAAATGTGGGATACAAAGGTTAATGACATATGACCTGTTCCCTCAAGGAACTCAGATAACCAATTACAACTCTCCTTAACCAAAATTCTGAAAGGATGTCCGTAAGGGAGGAATATCTGTCATGCAGTGTATGAAGTTTATGCATTTGACTTTTTTTTTTTTTAATTTTTTTTTAACATTTATTTTTGAGACAGAGAGAGACAGAGCATGAACGGGGGAGGGGCAGAGAGAGAGGGAGACACAGAATCGGAAGCAGGCTCCAGGCTCTGAGCCATCAGCCCAGAGCCCGACGCGGGGCTCGAACTCCCGGATCGTGAGATCGTGACCTGAGCTGAAGTCGGACGCTTAACCGACTGAGCCACCCAGGTGCCCCACATTTGACTTGATGGTGAAGGGGTTCAACAACTTTTGGTAAATTGAACAGTTTTCAAACAATCATTGTATGTATATTATTTGTCCCAAAGGACAGAACGTCCCAAAGGTAGCATACAAAGAGATCTTACACAGTGCACCTCTAAGGACTTACTATCTGGCCAGAGAGGAGAAAATCCATGTGTATAAGATAATCTGAGAGCATTCCAAGGCAGTATTCTATATAAAGGCTAAGTTTCAATTGCGTAGCACTTTATTTACGACCAAAGGCTTCCATACTCTTTATTTTGATTCTCCCAGCAGAGCTGATGTTACGTACTTGTTGTTATTAACTTAGTATCCTCATTTACTAGGAGGAGAAATTAGTGCACCCAGTAGCTAAGCAATGGCTTCGTGTAGTAGTAGCAAGTGAGTGGGCAGTGAGGGTGAGAACCAGGTGTCCCAACACCCAGCTCACTGTTCTTTTCAGGATGCCATGCTGCCTGTTTCTTGTGTGGTGCAGAGACATGTATTAATGTCAAAAAAAAAAACCTCTGGGGAAGAAAAACAACTCTAGTGAGTCCTGGAGGGAGTTGGGAAG